AAAGAAAGAAAGAAAGAAAGAAAGAAAGAAAGAAAGAAAGAAAGAAAAAAAATAAAAAGGTAGACCATTAGCTGATTCCTTCAGTTCAATTCCTCTGGAGATTTAGGTGTTCCCCAATCATATTTCAGGTAGTCCCAAACTTTACTTCTGCTCTTTAATCTGCTCTTCAATATTACCTAATGAAACACATACCCTCTTATTGGAGACAACAGAATCAAAACAAGAGCTCTGGATTTTCTTTGTTCCCTGTTAACATTTTTATGAGTTCATTGAGTTGTTGGTTTATTGATTCTTTTCTTTTCTTTTTATTTTAGATAGTTGAGTGCAAACTTATTGAATTCAAAACAGCTGTTTCAAAATCAGGATTGGTTATCCCGAACTAAAAATATTTATAGGATCCATTTCAAGAACATTTCCAGGAAAGTTGGAAGGCTTCCTGTCAGGATTGAACAACCCATTTTAAACTTGAAACAACTTTCAAGCTCAAAAGCTTTCTCATTTATAATGGTTTAAACAACTCTAATATTAAAAACCGCTATAAAAGCCTTTTTATTGTTTTTAGCATCCTTTCTCAACCTTAGCTCATTCTCACATTTCTTATACCATTTCTATAGTTTTCATCCATCAGTATACATGTAGTATGCTTAGGGCCAATTTTCACACACCTGGGCAAGTTCAAGAAAGCCAGAACTACATCAATTTCAGTAAAGTACCTTTAATATGATTTATCACTTATAGCTTATAAGTACAAGGAGAGATTAAGCACCGAAGACAAATTCCTTGTGTGTTCAATCACACTTGGCCAATAAAGAATTCAATCCAATTCTATTCTATTCTATTCTATTCTATTCTATTCTATTCTATTCTATTCTATTCTAATCTAATCTAATCTAATCTAATCTGATTCTATTCTATATAGTACAATTCTTCCTCCATTTCAATTGTTTCTATTCCTTCTAAACAAATTCTATTCCTTGCTTGCTATATTTCAATCATGGGAACCAAAGACATGAATATCAAATCATATTTGCCTTCCAGTATTAAAAAGTTCTGACTCCTTCTTTTTACTGAGTGTTTTATTAGTCCCATGCTAACAACATTCCTATATTTTTATCAGAAAATCTTACATTAGGGGTTTCATATTCAATCTCCACAGGGTGATTTTTAAACCTTTCTGATCATGCTCAGCCCACATTAGTCAAACATGCTTTTACCAATCCTTGTGAAATATCAGTAGTTTTCTATCGAAACAAATATGTGCAAATATCCTACTTCATTGCACTTGAAATGTGCAACTCTCTAGTACAACTTGCCTTTTTGTGTAGTTATTCTTCATGTGAAACAATGTGAGATATCTGCATTTGCCACCTGCATAAGCAGCCATAACTGTTAATACAGAACTTTGAGAATCCATTCAATGTCCTATAGGGAGCCTGTTAGGTCAAGAAGTGATTAGTGTTCTTGTTGGTGCCAGGGGAACCATATATGGGAGAGAACAACAGAGATGAAATTCTTTTGATCTATTCCTTGTGGGGAAGCTGGGAAAGATTGTGGAGGCTGGGAAAAGAATGGAAGGTAGACCAGACATAAACATTCAAGAGAGAGAATAAAAATCCTCAGGCAGCTTATCTCATAAACGGCAAGCTAGCCTAGATGGTAAGATACTTTGGAAGGAGCATTTAAATTACTGTACTCAAAATGTTTCTCTAGTACTTCAATTAACTCACTATAAAAGAAGATGAGAAATTCTTCTTGTAGTTTCCAATATTATGTATATATCTAATATACTTTACCAAAATCTCATTATGTTTTGGTGTGCTGAATGGGACTTGCAAAAAGGAACTAGAGGCATGCCCTTGTCGGAATGGGACAACTTGGTGCAGCCAACTCACCACAGCCAACTCACTGTGGGGCAACTCAATAATTCAATTTAAGTATTTAAAATTATTTTAAAATTTATTTTAATTTTTGTCATTCACTTTTCATTTTGTCCCTTCTTTTGCATCCTTTCTTTAATGATTCTATTCCATCATTTCTTTGATAGTAGTGTAACTCTTGTCCTGCAGCCAGTTGTACTGTAGTGCATTGGCCATGGCATGTTTTCCCACAGCAAGTTGGCCACACTGAGTTGTCTTAGGCCTTGCCCTTGTTGACAGCAGGGTAAATAAGGTGAGTTCATTCAGCAAGGTTCTCTGTCAACTCCAGCATTATCCTTCAAATGGGTACCATTGTCCTTGAGGGAGCAGTTACATAAATTGGGGGTCATTCTGAACTGAAACAAATTGCCAGATGGGTGGGTGAAAATCTAGCTAGGAGGATCCTCATCTAGCCTTGGCTGATACACCAGTTGTATCCCTACTTGGAGTGAGAGGACTTTGCAACAATAACTCATGTTGCATACCACTCACAAATTGCACTTCATCCAAAACAGAGCAGCCCATATATTAAGAGGTTCTGGACACACGAACACATCAGTCTATGTTAGGGGCCTTTCACTGGTTGTCAATAGGTTTCTAGATAAAATTTAAAGTATCAAATATAATTTATAAAGCCTTACATGGTTTGAGGCTGAGGCTCCTCCAGGACTACTTTTTTCAACTAGAACCCATCAACCTAAAGACAACTCAGAAAAAAAAAATGGTGTTTCCCCATTTCTATGAAATGGGTGGTGGGCCGAGGCCAGGAGAAGCTGTTTCTCGGTACAATAATGCATTTTTATTTATTTGTTCAATTTCTATGGCTGTCCATCTCAGTCACTGACTCTGGGCAGCTATTGTAATATAATGGTCTTACATTATGGAACAGCTTCACCCAAGAAACTAGATAAGCCTTGATGTTATTGCTTTTCTGAAAACAAGATAAAGCAAAACTCCTCTTTTTAAATTTGATGTAATGAGGCAACACAACATGTGTGTTTATATTGCTCTAAGTTGCTGTTTTTAATTTTGGTATTGTGCTATCATTTGGTATTTTTATGATTAGACATTTTGTAATTATTTTCATACCCTGCCAAGAGTGGCATGATTGCAGCCATTTAGAACCTCATAAACAAATGAACAAACAATGGAAAAACCAAGAACCAAGAAGAGGGTTGACAAAAAACAGCAACAATAGAGAGAAGGGAATTGAGAAATAGCAAATCAATGGGTTTTATTGCAAGTCTCACACTTAAAATTCATAGCAGAGCACAGCGGGCTTTCCTCTTGTGTATTTTAAAAATTATGCAATTATAATTGAAATAATGGATGTATCAAAAGTGGTTTTTATTTTGAAAAGGCAACTGGACTGATTTTTGAGAAAAAGACAAGATGTTTCATTTCCTATCCTGAAAGCTTCATCGGTTGAATTGGATGCTGTGGGAGATGGAAGGAAAGTTATTGACAGTTAAGATTAGTTGCAAATAAAACACAATCTTTCCATTCCCTCACCACCACTATCCTGTCAGAACCTATCATTCCCCCTCCCACCAACTAATTTCAATAATTGTCAATAATTATCCTTCCATCTCCCACAGCATCCAATACAATTGATGAAGCTTCCAGGATAGGAAGCAAAAAATCTTGTTTTTTTTCTCAAAAAATCAGTCCAGTTGCCTTTTCAAAATAAAAACCACTTTTGGCATAACTATGATCTGGGTAACTGCGAATCTTCATAGATATTTGTAATAAAAGATGTACATATTAAGAAAAATGGCATGTAGATCTATAGAATACAGAAATGTAAAAATATATTCAGTAGTTACTATAGGTTATTGCTTGATTAGGGTGTTTTGTGGCATACATCTATTATCTGTTTGACCATATGTGAGTTGTTAGGAGCCATCCTGTAACATGTTTGGTCATATAACAGAGACGAACATGGTGGAAATGTGTATAGAACATGAGATGCATAGTGCTTCTGCCTATTGCCATGGGAATTGCAATAAATATAGTCCAATTTTAATACCATATACTGAAATTTCCTAATTACCATAATTGTAGACTGAAAACAATGCAACATGGGAGGAAAAAAATATGTTATCTGTCTAAATAGCACATAATAATATATCACTTAAAATTAGTGTGGCTTGGAAGCCATAAAAGCACACATTTATGAAAACCTCAGAAAATTAACTCTTGCTTAAGGTTAAACACAGAGGAAAATTTTGATACAATCACAGTCCAGTATTTCTAATCTAAACCAATAAATCCTCCCAGTTCTAACTACTAGCATATTCCAGTTTCCCATGCTCCATAGAAAGTGGACCTACATCCATAGTCTCCAGGCTCAGATTCAAGTTGACCAGGGTTGTGAGAATCCAAGTCCAACACAGCTAGAGGACATCAAATGGCAGAAGGATGGATGATATACTCACAGCTTCGTAGATGGGCATTGTCTGTCAAGTATGCAGAAGTCTTACCTTCCTCACAGTTGCTTCCAGTGAAACCAGGGCAACATCGCCATTCAAGAGCAGTTACTGTTCGGTAAGCTATCTTGTACGTGGGTCGGATGAGGGTCCTGTAACTAACACAAGCAACACGTCATCCACAATGTTCAGCCCAAAACTGCCAACATCAGTAACTGCTCATAGGAACAAGGTCAAATACAGGTAGTCCTTGATTTACAATCACAATTGAGCTCAAAATTTCCATTGCTCATCAAGACAGTTGCTAAATGAGTTTTGCCTCATTTTATGACCTTTCCCCCCCACAGTCGCTGAGTGAATCACTGCGGTTGTTAAATTGGTAACACTTTTGTGAAGTGAATCTGCCTTCCCCATTGACTTTGCTTGTCAGTAAAAACTATAAAATGTTATTGAAATTGAACTTGGAAAATGAAGATGTAAAACACTGCATGATTCAGTGGGCAAGGAACTTTGGATACAATGTGATGCTTGAACAATGGAAAAATATGTGGACAAAGGGGTTAAAATTTGCGTTAAATTATAATCTAAAAGAACATTTTTATGAGATGATGTATTGTTGGTATTTAACACCAGATAAGTTATCTATGATGTATAAAGGAATGTCAGATGAATGCCAGAAGTGTAAAAGTAAAGAAGGGACCTTTTATCATCTATGGTGAACATGTGATAAAGCAAAAAAAAATTGGAGTATGATTCATATTTTAATTAAAAAAAAATGAAAATGGAGATAAAAATGAAACCAGAACTTTTCCTTTTGGGTTTAATGGAAAAAGAACTAGAGAAAAAATTTGGAACTTTGTTAGTATATATGTGGACAGCAGCAAGACTATTGTATGCACAGAAATGGAAGGACACTTCGATTCCTACTATGGACAAATGATTGCAGAAGTTGATGGAGTTAGCTGAAATGGCAAAATTGATCACTTTGATTAAAGAAAAGAACATAAGTACTTTAGTTTCCACATGGAAACTGCTTCTGAACTTCATGCTTGATGTGGAAAAGACTGAAATTCTGACTTTGGGTTTTACCGATTAGATTGATAGATCATTATATTTATTTATTTATTTGTCAATCACTTACAAGATAATAGGTATAAGTATATACATAATTATGAATACATGAAATGGGTACATATAAGAAAAATAAAAGAAACAATAGGACAGAGATGGTAGGCACGTTGGTGCACTTATGCACGCCCCGTACAGATCTCTTAGGAAAGGAATGAGGTCAATAGTAGAAAGTCTAAGGTTAAAGTTTTTGGGGTTTGGGGAGGAAACCACAGAGTCAGGTAGAGTATTCCAGACATTGACCACTCTGTTGCTGAAGTCGTATTTCCTGTAATCAAGTTTGGTGCGGTTAACCTTGAGTTTGTATCTGTTGTGTGCTCTTGTATTGTTATGGTTGAAGGTGAAGTATTCATTGACAGGTAGGACATTGCAATGTATGATTTTATATACTATACTTAGATTGGATGGAAGACGGCGTAGTTCTAGATTTTCTAGGGCTAGAATTTCAAGTCTGGCGGTATAAGGCATTCTGCAGCGAGTAGAGGAGTGAAGAACTCTTCTTGTGAAATATTTCTGGACTTTCTCAACTGTGTTAATATCAGATATGTAATGTGGGTTCCAGACTGATGAGCTATATTCGAGTATTGGTCTAACAAATGTTTTGTATGCTCTAGTTAGTAGTGTAATATCACCAGAGAAAAAGCTAGGTTAGGATTAGGTTAACAACTCTTAATGCCTTTTTGGCTATGTAGTTACAATGGGCTCTAGCACTTAGATCATTAGAGATGAGTATTCCAAGGTCCTTGATGGAGTTTGGATCATCAACAAGGTCTTGACTAATCAGAAATTTGCTTGTTCATATTATTATGAAAAAGCAAAAAGTTGTGATTTGATGTTAATGCCATATTTTATTGTAACAAGGAGAGTTGGAAGTCAATGCTTCTTTTTCTTTCTTTCTTTTATCTGTCCTCACTTCTCCTTCCCCTTTTTCTCCCCACTGCTTTCCTATTTACTTTGTATTTTGTATTTTACATTACTTTATAACTCAATTAAAATGTTAATGGAGAAGATTTTGCTTGTCAGAAGATGTCAAAAAGTGATCACATGACCCCGGGACATGCAACTGGCATAAATACATGCCAGTTGTCAAGCATCCAAATTCTGATCATATGATCATAGGGATGCTGCAACCATTGTGGGAAAACCAAAATACGTTACTTTTTTCAGTGCCATTGCAACTTTGAATGGCCACTCAACGAATGGTTGTAAGTCAAAGAGTACCTGTACAGTTTTAAGCAGCCCAATTCAATATACGTCTATGCAGGGGTGGGATTCAATTGGTGTTACTACTGGTTCGGGTACTATATTTTGTGCATGCATGTGCGCTTTACGTGCACACACACCTGATGCTGAAAAGTGCAGCGCGCAGCATTTGAAAAGCCTCTTTTTTCTTGCTTTTTCAACCTCAGCTGTACCACACAAAGCAGCTGAGGTTGAAAAAGCAGGAAATAAAGTACAGGTAAGAGCCCAGGTAGGTGGGTGGGCCAGACAGCAGCAAACACATAACCAGTTCAGTGTCTGCTGCTCTTCAGAGCTACCAGTTCTTTAGAACCAGGCAGAACTGGTAGCATCCCACCCTTGCAGGTAGAGTTCAATGGGATTATTCCTAGGTAAGTGGCTAAAAAATCACACTCGCTATTTAAAAGTTCTTCATTCATTCACCTTCTTTGTTTGTCTACTTGGGAGACACCCATTGGAACTTATTTCTGAAGGGGCATGTATACAATTACGGTAATGGACAATAAAACCTTATATCTGATTTTTACAATTTACAGAAATTGTCTGATAAATTGAATAGGCTTCAGTTACAGGTAGCCCTTGACTTACAACAGTTCATTTAGTGACCGTTTGAGGTTACAACAGCACTGAAAAAAGTGACTTATGACCATTTTCCCCATTTATGACCACTGCAGCAGGTCACATGATCAAAATTCAGATGATTGGCAACTGGCCCATTATGATTGCAGTGTCATGTGATCACCTTTTGCTATCTTCTGAAAAGCAAAGTCAAGGGGGAAACCAGATTCATTTAACAACCATGTTACTAACTGGTTAATGCAAGTGCAGTAATTCACTTAACCGCCGTGGCAAGAAATGGGGCAAAATTCACTTAACAATTGTCTTGCTTAGCAACAGAACCTTTGGGCTCAATTGTGGTTGTAAGTTGAGGACTTCTTTTTTTATTTTTTTAATAATTTTATTTTTTATTTAAAAAAAAAATTCTAGCTGACATTTCAGTAAGTAACCTCAGTATTGCTAGAAGGGAACAGGAGAAGGTATGTGGGGTCCTTTAGTGGTTTCCAAGTTTGGTTGTTTTGTGCTGACATTTTATTACCAAATTAGGTGGAATCAGTCAGGGCTAGGAGGGAGTGGAGCAAAATTGGGATAATTGCAATTCATAGGCGTTTGACTTGGTGCGAGTTCTTTTGTGCTTTTTAATATTTTATGTTTAAATGGGTTGCATTTTCTAGTTTTTCAGATGATTTTGTACGTTTCTTAAAACCTTTCATTGGGAGTTCACTGAAAGACAGATGGCTTTCTCCTATTTCTCTATTATTTCAAACCTCTTTGCAATTTGTGGCGGAGTCACAAGGAAATATTTGCAGCCAGAGAAAGAGGCAGCCGTGAGCTCAGTGAGCAACTGGGAGGGGGAGGCTTGGATTTTGCAAAAGCTGCAGGTAAACTGAAGGAGAAGCAGAGCCCAGCAGTGTCATCACTCCAAATGGTTGAGGACTTCTTGTATAGAATGTTGTATAGAATATGGATCATGCCCAGTATTTCCTAATCGAACCACAGAAAACTACAATGATCTAATACATATCGATTTTACAGAAGACATTGTTGAAAAAGCACCGTGCAATCTAAAACCATCCCTATCTATTGGACTGGATGGAATATATGCCTACTTCTTAAAAAAGCTATCCACTGCCATAGCCGAACCTCTAAGCATAATCTTTGAAAAACCTTTCAGGACCAGCTCCTTGCCAAAACTATGGTCATAAGCCACGGTCATCCCCATCTTCAAAAAGGGAGACCCCAGCCTAGTTGAAAATTACAGACCAATCTCCTTATGCTGCGTCACCTGTAAAGTCATGGAATCAATTATTAACCAATCCATTATCCTCCACTTAGAGACAAACAACCTACTCTCTAATAAACAATTTGGTTTCAGAAAAAAACTATCCTGTAATCTGCAACTCTTACACTGCAAAAACGTATCGACTACACAACTCGATCAGGGCAAAGCAATAAACGCAATCTACATAGACTTCTGTAAAGCCTTTGATTCAGTGGTACACAACAAACTACTACTAAAACTAAAATCCTATGGTATCTCTGGATACCTACATAACTGGATAGAAGCATTACTGTCAAACAGACAACAAATGGTCAAAATTGGCAGCGTCCTATCAAATTCTGTACCTGTCAACAGTGGTGTCCCCCAAGACAGTGTTTTAGGACCAACTCTCTTCATACTCTACATAAATGACCTCTGTGATCATATTAAGAGCAACTGTGTTCTCTTCACTGATGATGTAAAGCTATTCAACACCACAGACAATACTACTACTGTCGTGTCCGGCGCAGGAAGGAAGCTCGGAGTCAGTGACAAGTTCAGCTCTTTATTGTGCTTCAGCTACAACTTAAAGTGGAAGGGAAAACTGCGGCTATTTATTCCCAAGCCGTGGCGGCTGCGACCAATGGCATCGCTTCGAATCTCCTGCTCTTGGCTTCTCCAATCGCAGGAGGTTCTTAATGGGCCAATCAGTGCGGCTCGCTCGGCCAATCCGGTCGCCGCGCGCTTTAGCCAATCACGGCGCGGGGTTTACGAGTATGTTAATTACTGTACAGAACAACTACCCTCCAAAAAGACCTTGACTATGTATCAGAATGGTCAAGCAAATGGCAACTTCAAATCTCAACAAATAAATGCTCTTTCTTACATATTGGCAGAAAAAATCAGAAAACAAAATACAAGCGAAATAGTCAAGACCTTGTTGAGGATCCAAACTTTGTCAAGGAC